AGAAGCACACTTGCCAAATAAGGTAAAAGTGGCCCCCTCCTTACAGGGTCTGATGTGAAGTGAATGTTGTCATGGACCTCAGAACAGAGGTTAGAAACAATGATGTTTCACAGTGAATCTCGAATGCAGCATGTGCAGTACCCTCACAACCGTATGCTAGAATGGCAGTGTTCCCACAGAGCTGAAAAAGGGCCACCTAAACACCACTAAATACATCGTGGCTGCCATGGTTGGGTTGGGCAAATCCCTGTTATTAAAATAATATCGTGCACAACAGGCCCTTCCATGCAGGGATCTCACAGTGCTTTACAAGGCACCACCCATATCGCACTGGCTTGTAGGTTTTGGACAAGGGCAAACTAAGGTATGGCTGGCCAATGTTTTCCATGGGCCTTGTGAGTTTGGGGTACCCAACATATGAGACTCCTGATGCCTGATTTTCAGTGAAGCTGGACTCTCATAACTCCAACTGATGTCAAAAGGAGCCATGGGTGCTTAGTAGCTTGAGAATCGGGGGTGCAGGCTGACTACTCAAAAATGAAGGCACCCAGAATGGGTGGACATTTGAAAATGGTGACTTGAGTGTCTTGCCTAAGTTTATACAGTGAGTTAGTGAAGTAAGCACAGAATCTGCTGTGAGCAGAAAGAGATGATAGGGTGGTTAAAACAGCAGCAGCCGCAGATTTACACTAGTGCTCCTATCATTGCCCGTGGAGATGCTCTGGTGCGAGAGCGGAGTAGGGGAATTTCAAAAGCACCTCGGGGCAGACCCAACCTAGGGCGTTTTCTTTGGCAATAGATGGGGCCAAACTCCTCTCAGTGCTTGTTACAGAAAGCATGACAGGCCCCTAGATTATAAATCAGTTTGGCCTTCCCTTTGGGGATAGAATCAATCTATTAATTTATTTTAAATTGTGCGGCAAATAACTGTAGTTTAGGACCCTGTGCTAGCAAAACTACTAAAGGAGGGGTTGCTGGTGGGGAGGGGCTGCGGTTGACACCTAGGTCATTTCTCTACTACAAGGGCCTCCTCTGAAGTTGTCCATCTGCTTCCAGGAGGCCACATCAACCCTCATGCACTGTTATCTGTAAGGTAGGAAACTGACGTGGCCCTGGTGGACTGATTAGATAAACTTACCTCTTGTCGGACCTTGAAGCATGGCGTTTGCTAGCAGTTTCCTTGGCTAGCAGGATATTGCTCCCATCCATGCAGGGAAGATTTTCAAGCATGACCCAACCCCCACCCCAATATGGCAGTTTTGAGAATATAGAGCCCTTAGTAGGGTTGTTGCTAGCACAGTTTTCATCCCATGTGGGCAGTAACCCAGCTGATGTATTGAGCCAGGATTATACCTGAATAGAGCAGGATCTTGTCTCGCTAGAGTGAGATGAAAATGTTCCTGGTTGCTTTAGCTCTACTGTGAATGGGTGTGTCCCTTCTGTGCCAGAGGTTCCTGAGGGGACAAGTGGATCTAATTCCTCTGCCCATGAACTGAATATATAGAGGTGGGAGACTAGCAGCTGGTCACATTCTTAAGCACCTCGACTGGATTTTCTGTCCCTGGGGAAATGCCCTTTGTTAAGTCATCTCCTTTTGGCTTTTCTCTTCCTCTTTTGTTAGTTAAAAATATCTCCAGCTTTTTTCAGCCCCTCTGATTAGATCCATCCACAGATGGTTGGCAGAGATGGTTCCTCTTAGTCTGATGATCGCTATGCTTTTACAAAGCCACTGTCTGCCTTTCTGTGTAGGCTAGCCCTTTTCCATGGATTATTTCATACCCCTGTTGACAGTTGAGTGTCTGGTGTAGAGCCAACCTTTTCCCAGTAGAGGGCAGCATGCTCTTCAAAGATGGCTCACGAATACATGGCGGCTTTCTCAAAAGCTAGCTCTGCCCATTGAAAAAGGGCTGTACCCATTAACAAACAGCACTTTAAAAAGGGGGGCAGTCTTAGCGAGTGGAATCCTGGGTGATGTATGTCCCCAGAGCATTAAACACCATCACGGTTAGCACTACCTGATCCCCTTGGCGCTGGCAATGGCAGCAGAGAAGTCAAAGATTGAATGGACGCACACAGAGTGGAGGGTAAGACAGGGTTGATTGACCAACTGTGTTGCACCCTTGGCAATCCATGCTGCCAAGCCTGGCAAGGGCCCTGCTGAGTCTTTTTACATGGTGGGCAGGAGCAGAGCTAGAGCAGGGCAACAATCAACAGGACTGGGAACCTGAATAGCGAATTTGACAGATAATGTGAAAATCAGCCACGTTCAGCAAGCTGAGCGTTTCCAGCCTGTGTTTTTGCTATGTGAATTCTTGGCTTCCTGTCCCTTAGTCTGCTGCAGTCAAGACAAGAGCCGGGAGCATTAATCCTGCTGCTGGCTTGGAATCTCCCCTCTTCTTGGTCTCCAAAGGCACAGGAAGATCTCCCCCAGCTGCCGTCCTCCTTTGGGATCCAGGAAAGGAGGTCCCTATGAACCTAGACCTTCAGGGAAACAGCTGGTTACATGAGCTAGGTTTTTCAGGGGCCTAGTGCACCCTCAGTTTAAGGGGCAGAATTTGTTAGGAGAAGATGAGGGAGCTTGGTAGACTGCCCAGCCTGCCTCTCTCCCCACCCCGAAAAAAATACATGCTGGATTGGGGGCAGGTTGACGTGCCTGGTGCAAAAAAAGATGCACGATGAGCCAGCATCCACCTGCCCCTTGAGAAAAATAGAGAAGAGGGGAGGGCCACCAGCTATCCTCAGCGAATGGCTAAATGTGTGTGGTGTATTCAGGGCCCATTGTGGGAGATTGTTATTCGGAAGTGGAGGAAAATTATATTCAGGAGACCAAAGAGCATCTGAAGGGTAGAGGGAGAGCAAGGTCTAGTGGTTAGAGCCAGAGGCTGGACTCAGGAGATCTGAGCTCTGTTGCTGCTTTACTGCTGACTCACTGGCTGAGCTTGGGCAATTGCATTGGGTGACATTTTCAAAGACATCCCAGCATTATTGGATGCCAAACTTTCAAGACCTCTAGCTGGTTTTTCAGAGGTGTTGAGCCCCTGCAGATCCCACTGACATTAGCTGGAGTTGTGGGTGCACAACATCTCTGAAAATCAGGTTCCAGGTGTCTACAGTTGGGCACCTGAAAATTGAGGCTCTCACATCAGAGGCTGCTATTGTACAATCTGGCCTTAATTGCTCTGTGCCTCAGTTTCCCCTTCTGTAAAATAGGAACAATGCCCCTGGATCACTGCGGGTTGTGAGGCTCAGCTCATTTGTAGTGCTGTAAGATACTGGGATGCAAGGTGCTAGCTGAGGCATGACCTCTGCCTAGGAATATCAGCCAGAGCCGAAGAGTGGGGTATTTGCCATGCCCTAATAATCAATATTCCATTCAGTGCCAAAAAGGGAGCTGACAGACGTCAGGCTCTCAACCTGGCAAGGCCCACCCCGGGGAACAATGGGCCATTATAACAGGAGACAGCTTGAGAAAGAGGTAGCCTCCACCAGCTATAGCCCACAAGGACAACTGAGATGATGGAGGATTCGTTCTATGGCATACCACATTCTTTTCCCATTAGGTCTATTTAATGAGTCAAATTTTCTGATGCTCATAACATTACCAGCCTCAAGAGTGGAGGGGAGAGGTAACAAAAAATGTGTTTGAGAGGCCTGAGATGCTGCATTGAATCTCTAAATCCCGAGTAGCTGTAAATCATTCGTTATTGTTCGGGTTGAGCTGTAGTGTGGCTATAATGATCTCCCATGAAACCTAAAGCTGCACAGAGAAGAAGAAGATTAAGTGCTGTGGTTGTTTGTTACTAAGAATACAAATATCCATAGGCTAATGAGCTCCTGCTTGATAGGATTACCCAGAGCAGCAAGAATCAGCTCCAGTCCATTTCCTCCCTCCCTTGGGATTTAATTTGGATGGGGTGGGGGGGCTATTTTTTAGTCAATCAATAAACTGCCCATTCACATATGCAACCACGGAATGTTTGCTGGGGTAGCTATGGGATCCAGATTCCCATGTCTGCTCCCCTGACACTCCACTGTGGCAACAATAATTAGCACTCATATAGCACCTTCTATTTTCAAAGTGCTTTGCAAACCTTAACTGAGCCTCCCACAGGCAGGGAATCCTAGATGGCAGAGACTTAAAAGTCCTGACAAATCACCCAGTCCAAGCTGGGTCCAATGCAGCTGGGTCCCTGTGAAGCATTTGGCCCAATCTAGTTTTAAAACGTTCCACGCAATGTCCCATCACTCCCTTCGGGAGACCATTCCACAGCCTAAGTATAACCAACCCCATTTGACAGATGGGAGTAATACAGGCATCTAATTTTCCCTGCTAGTCCTTTTTATCCATGCAAAGGGCAGCCTGGCTAGTCCACAAACAAGGGCTTCCTGTCACTTCCAGCATGGAGGAAGGGAGGGAGGAAGAGGAGGCATTCTGGAGCTCTGGCATCCTCTTACCTCCAGATCCACCTTTCCCATGAGCAGCCCTTCCATTACCGAACAAAGGGATAATAAGGTGCAAATTATTCACTACAGGGTCCCCAGATCCTGCAGTCAGATCCAAGTCAGGAGATGCCCATGCAGTGAATTTAATTGGGCTCCAGGAAGAAGAGGGAGGGGCTGAGAGTCCGGTGCCCTACAGAGGAGGACAAGGGTGCTGCCTAAACACTGCTACAATCAAAACAAGGCTCATTTAAATTAATAACTCGATGAGTCCCCGGAACTTTCTGGAAAGAGCCTTTTGGACACAGCCCCTAGGAGAGCTGATCATTTCCATCGGGCTAGCTTGGTTGTTCCCAACATCGTCCCCCGGGGGGGGGGACCCCTTTCCTAGGGGAGTGGAGACCTGGTTCTCAATGCTCGGGGCGGGGGGCTGGGCCCGGGCTGAGAACACACTGAAGGAGAAAGGGGGAGAGAGAAAACCTCACAACTTGGGCTGCCTGCGCGGTGGGAAGGCAGCGGTGGGCAGGGCCCTGGGAAATGACGCGGCTGCTGTGTATGTTGTGAAACCCTATCCAGCTTTAGCAGAGCCGGGATTTCGCTAACAGCTGCGCGCAGATTGCGCTGCCCGTTGAAATTAATCAGAGCTGGTCAGTTGTTCCCAGGCAGCAGCCGCGCAGGGGAGGCAGACAAAAAAAAACAAGCAACGCCCTTAGTCCCTTGCCACTCGGCTCCAGAGGCTGCCCAGAGATGGATGTGGCCGTGGATCTGTACCTGGCGGTCCCGCTGCTGTTCACAGTCCTGGCTGTGATCCTGGCTTCGGTCTTTGTGAAGCTGAGAGCGACGGAAGGGGACAAAGCTGCCGAGACAGCCAAGGGGGAAGGGTCCCAGGGCCAGGAGGCAACCGAGCAGGGGGAGGAGAGGAAGGATGGCGAGGGGGAAGGGAAGGAGGGAGAAGCGCTGAAGGAGGAGGGGATTCCGAGGGGGGAGAAGGACGAGGAAGGAGCGAAGGACGAGGGGAGAAGGATCCCGGTGGAGGAGATTGGGGTGGAAGAGGGGAAGGCGAAGAGAGCCGAGGAGAATGAAGAGCAGCAGCCCAAGGAGGAGGCGGTGGCAGCGGCAGCCAGGACTGCAAAAGCAGACCAGCAGAGCCACCCTCAGGAGATGAACATCCCCCGCCAGGCTGCTGAGGTGGTGGAGGAAGAAGAGGAGGAGGAGGAGGACGAGGAGGACGAGAGCAAGGTAAGAGCGGGGAGCTCCGGAGAGCTCGTCTTCCTTGTGTAACTTTGGGAAGTTGGGTTGGATCCTGCTGCCTGGCCCTGTGGGGGTAGGTGCTGGAACTAGGGGAGCTGCAGCACCCCCTGGCTTGAAGTGGTTTCCATTATCCAGGGTGTACAGTTTGGTTCGACGGCTCTCAGCACCTCCCCCCCCCCTAAATTGTGCCAGCACTCCTGCCTGTGGGAATGACGTGTGTGCAGCTCCCCACCTAGAAGTTGTGTTGCTGTTTGTGTGTGTGTGTGGCAGCAGCAGCAGCAGCAGATGCTACGGTTGTCCTGAAACCTGGTGTTTGTCATAACCCCCTGTCAGTCCAGGCACACCCATACAGTGCTGTGCACAGGGTCTGTACAGTTACTTCTGCACTGGGATCTCATGCACTTGGCACAGAAATGCCTCTAGCCAGCCAGTTTTGTTTCTCTTTGTGGCCTCCAGATCATCCCATCCTGCCCCAAACCTCAGATCTATTTAATCTCTCTCCTTCCCACCTCCTCTGATCTAATGAGTTATGACAAGCTTGTTGCTTCTGAGAGTGTGAGAACAAAATGCTGCTTCATGTTGCTCCACTGAAATTTTGATTTAGGATTTTAACTCCCAACCCGCCCTGCCTGTACCTCTTCTAAAAAAAATAAATTCTGAGAATTGAATGCAAGTCAGATTAATCTTTGCTTGAGCTGACCTGAGTCTGCAAATCTGGTTTGTGAGGCTCCTCCCTCTCTATCACTGGCCTCACTAATCCAGATAAGGAGAAGGGGTTCAGAGGGTTCCCCCTCAGTCTCCTTTTTGCACCCTTTATCTAGATGTCTCTGGTGGAAGCTGGCTTCTTGCGGCTCTGAATATAATGGGGATGAGCCCTTGTGCAGCGGCCTCCAGTGCCCCTCCTCCCCCATGCCAAGGAAGGAGAGATTTGAACGCACTGCCCTGCAGTCTCAGCATGAGATGACTCCCAAAGTCTAGACTCAGTGCCCAGTAGCCCTGAAAAGTGCCCTGGGTATCTGCAGTGTGTGTGGCAGTCAACCAGTGCCATGCAGCAAAAGTAAATCCTCCCACCGCTCCAGATCTTGGCTGCTTAAAAATAAATGAGCAATCCAAGGTGCATGAAGAGTTCATGCTTCGTTGCTACCCCTCCTCCAGCACAGCCAGGACTCCAGGGGGCCAGTCGCCAAGGGATGGTAAACTTGGCCTGATGCTTCTCTCACTCTTTTAAACATGAATTGCCTGAACCTGCTGAATTGCAGTTACCAAAAGCTTTCCCCCAGGGTTTGCCTGGTGGTTATTTTCAAGGGCACTTTGCATCTGTGGGTCATTGGGTGAGTAGCTTAAGGGTGGCTTTAAAAAAAAAAAAAAAAAAAAGTGTGTGTGTGGGGTGTCTATTTAAAACCCACACTCCAGACAGGATATTCCAGTGGAGGGAGCACAGGCCTGGGGGCCAGAGATGCCTAGTTAGGTTGTTGTTAACTTTACTTTTAAAATGTCCTGGCCATGGTACAATAGACACAACAGAGCCAGCCCCTGCCCTGGAGAATTTACAATTCTTGGCTCACTATGTGACCTTGGCCAAGTCACTCTGTTCCTTCATTTCCCTACCTGTAAAATGAGGTTAACGCTTTGTAATGTGCTTTGAGCTCTATGAATGGAAATGTGCTAGATGATGTGCCAAGCCCTATTAATTAGTATGGAAAGAAGACTGAAGCAGGCGTGGTGACTTTGGCACATGACTGCAGGCCTATATTTTAACCATGCTCTTCCTGATCTGTAACGTCTCTGTAGTGGGGCCTGGGCAGTATCCATGCTCAACTTTACTTAGCTTCTGACTTTCAGAGGTGCTGAGCTCCCATAACCCCCTGAGTTCAGTGGGACTTACGCACGGGCAGCACCTCTGAAAATCGAGTTTGGTCATGTTGTTCCTGAGGACATCCTTATCTCTTGTCCCACTGAGGATTGTCCGTATTATTGATCTCATAATGGGAGTACTTTGCCTCTGGGATAAAGAGGATGATACCTGGAGGCATAAATTGGGGAGATACTAGCCCTGGAGGTAGCCACCCTGTTGACTAGGCTTGCTGTCGAAAAGCGTATTAGCCAGGTTTCTCTGCACTCCTCAGTCAGCTGCAGGGTCCAATATGTGTCCCAGCTTTTCTGGCTGGAAATGGGCAGCAACCCATTAAAACTGCTGACTTCATAGAGGGTTCCCATCGGTACCCTTGGCTTCCCTCCAGGCTTATTTGTTTGGAGGGCTCTTCATCCTCTCTCTCATACACATACACACCTCACCCCACACACGGTCCCTATTTCAGAGCTTCACTAACCAAAGCCGCTCGGATCCTTTTAAACAAACATGGCTCTGTCGGGGTTGGATGCTCATGCTCAAACCAGTAACTCGGTCAGGGTGACCGTTACCGTGCGCCTTGGTTTGCATCGTCCCCCAGCTTGCTCAGAGTTCACTCCAGAACCTGGCTGGGTTTGGTCAGTGGGCAGAGAAGCTAGCCAGGGCGTTTCCAGACAGAGGGACAGGAGCCTGCCGGTTTTACTCGCAAGGAGAGCGATTGCAGCTGAAGGCGTCTCTTCATTGCTCAGCGATGGGGCTGGGCAAATGAGATGAGACCGCCATCCACAGTGAAGGTGTCTCAACCAGCTTGTCTGATCTCCTTGCCCAGTTGGCTTGTTGTCTGGGCTCCACAGGCTTATTGACAGACTGCAGCTACATTTCTCTGCCTCTCTCCCCAACCCCATCTTAAAACAAGGGTTGTTTAACCCCTTCAGCACCTTGCACTCTTGAAGGATAGGAGTCCGTAGGGTGGCATGGCTGCCTCCTTGTAAAGTATGTCCAGAGAGAAGAGGTGTGTATGTGTCAGGTACAGGAGAAACCATAAAGCATGGGGCATATGTGGATGGAGAACCACTATCCTGGTCCACTTTTTTTCATGAGTGGACCCCTAAAAAAATTGGAATGGAGGTGCAGACGCCTTTGGAAATATTAGACATAGTCTGCAGACTCCTAGGGGTCCATGGACCACAGGTTGAGAACCACTGGACTAGAGTCCAGTGATGTATAAACCGGAGATGTCTCCCATACAAACTGGCCTCTGACATGCTCTAGAGGGAGAGGCGTGTGCAGGTGAGATGTGGAGAGTCAGTGAGGGGGAGTCTGTTTTGAACAGCAGGAGCTGCGGAGGAGAAGGCTCCTGCACCACCAGTGTTGAGCTTGTGGGAAAGGATAGAGCAGGGAGGCTGATGCTAGATGAGTGCCCGGGGAGGGGGAGGAGAGCATGAGAAGGGCCATGAAGCAGGCAGAAGGCAATGGAGGGCTGGACCCTGAAGCGATTTAGGCAGCCAGGGAGGTGGCTGATCCGAGTGATGCCACCTTGCATGCCTGCAGGCGGGCAGCTTGCTGTGCTGCTTGAAGACTGGTGCACTTTGCTCCCCAAAAGAGCCCACCTTGATGACTAATCACTTAGAGGAGCACAGCTGGGACACTGACCCCGCCGGGCACTTAATCAGGGCATGGACTCACCGCAGCGCTTCCTTTGACAAAACAGGGCAAGGGAAACTGCTCTGTGCCACCAGGAACCCTGCCCCAGGCCAGCCCCAACTGCCCCCAAGAGCAAAGCCCAGTTCCATGGCCAGCAAACTCCCAAGGGAAGCAAACTTGGGGCAATAGCTTTGTTCCCTGCTCTGCCCCTTTCTCCTCTCCCTGCCCACCCTGTTCCCTGACAAGCACACTCCTGGGCAGGGCTTCCTTCCCTCCATCACCCTCTTCCCCCCCCCTCCCCCACAGGTTCCCAAAGTGAGTTAAAATAGGCCCTCTCTGCCATGCAAGGCATTTTTTTCCCCCCTGGGAAGAATGACTTCATTCAGGTCATGCTCCAAACAGTCTCTCTCTGGTGGACCTAAGGCTGTGGACGGAGAGGGTGGGTGTGGGGGACATTTTTCTGTGCTGAGTGTGTAAGAGAGAGAGAGAGATCTAGCTTGTGTTAGGACTCTTCTGAGCAGGCCGTTGAGTTTTACAACAAGGGCACTAGCTAAACAATCTGATTCAGGACAGTAGAGCAGAGGGAAGAAGATGTGCCATCTCAAAGGGGAGTGTGTGTGGGGTGGGGACTTCATACAAAACAGCTAATGCCCCATCACTGTACTTCTTGGCAGCTGCTCACCTAGACAGAGAGACGTCTTTCTCTGGCTACTGTAAAAACGACAGGGTCTCTGTCTTGGGGGAAGGTATTTAGCTCTCCCCACGCCCCCTCTCTCTGAGGAATTTTCAGAACATGCTACATACCCCAAGGTTGGGGTGTGACTTTGCCAGTGACTGGCTTCCCATCAGCAGACTGATGATTCTCCCATCAGCAGACTGTAGGAGTGTGAGAGCGCTCACTGTCCTTGGGCTGCTAACCTCACCCTGCACCCCTGAAGGAGAGGGGCCAAGAGAAGAGGTGTGAGTGGGGTATGGCAGTTCTCTGTTGTGTTTGTTGTTACAGCAGAGTCCATACAGAAGAGGTTGGGAGCAGCACTAGGCAGTCATGTGCCCCATAACTTCTGTGTATCCTAGAGGCTTTTAGTCAGGGCCGGCTCTGGCTTTTTTGCCGCCCCAGGCAAAAAAGCCTCTGGCCGCCCTCCCTCCCCCATGGGGGGGGGAGAGGGCAGCCGGAGCCCTGGCGGGGGCTCCGCTTTCCCCCCGGCGGCCGGGGGGCGGGCGCCGGGGGGGAGGGCGGCGGGGCTCGGCTCTCCCCCCGGCGGCCAGAGCGCAGGGGGCAGGGTGGCGAGAGGGCGGCGAGCCCGGGCCAGGGCTCGCTGCTCTCCCCACGGCGGTCGGGGGGAGGGCGCCGGGGGGGGAGGGCGGCCAGAGCGCCGGGGGGAGGGCGGCGAGCCCGGCCGTGGCCCTGCTCTCCCCGGCGGCCGGAGCGCCGCGCCGCCCCCCTCCAGGTGCCGCCCCAAGCACAAGCTTGGTGGGCTGGTGCCTGGAGCCGGCC